TCTGACTTTCCCTTCACAGTCAATGCGAAACGTCATCTGTGCATCCTTCTCACAAAAACAGAGACAATAATAAGCTTTCGATACCCTGCCGGAAAGAGGAACGTTCTCCTCTGCTTCATAGAACAGTTGAAGTCGAATGATTACTCGAGTAAAGTTAATATTAAAAATTTTTTTAGATGGTGCCATTTATCTGTAAACTTAATACATTATTTGTTTATCTATTGACGCTATAGCGTCTTTACCATAGCAGTTACTGTTTTATGACATGTTTAGACATTAGCTGAAGTTTTTCTGTTGTTTAGAAGAAATACTGTGTAACAGCGTCGCTCTGTGGTGGTCTCAGTCAGGTGAACATTTGGCTTTTGTGAGCTTCAATGACTCACAGGTGAAGAATATTACCCTCAACTACTACGGCAGTAGCCAGTTTTCGTCAGAGAGGGTGATTTCATACGCGAAGGTGAACGAAAATATCCCGCGAGTGACTCTGTTTGTCTGGTCGAAGTCCAGCAAAACCATGAAGGAACTGAAACCGCCAGCCGTTGTATCTGACCTGAAGTACGCGTGTGTTATTTCTTAGTAAAAGTTGACATATTGTTTTTTTTGTTTCAGGGAATACTATCTTCTTCGGGTGGAGTGGATGAGACAAGAGAATCCGCGTTCGTTTTCGGCAGAAGGCGAGAAGTTGATTGTCACGTGGACGAATCGTGCTCAGAACCAACTTTACGTTTCGTTGTGCACCATTTTGACTGACCACTGCGTTGTGGTACGTTGCGATCACATGCGATTATACTGAATCCGTAATTCTTCACTGCTTTGGTTTAGAGTGTGGGAGGCGAAAATCATCAAAATAATCTTGAATAATTCATTGTACCGCCTTGCCGTGCATAGAATCACGAGAAGTCTCAATAAGGTGTTTCATGAGATCTTATGACGACATCTGCCTCAGTCGAGATCAGCCACTGTCTTTTAATTTTAGCTTTAAGTTTAAAATCACATGGTTTTGTGATGTGAGGTGCTGCGGTAAAGCATGATTCATGCCAGTCATTGCATCGGGTAGGAGGCAAAGTCTTACCGCCTCGTTGCTCTTGAATCTTAGGGAAGGGTTTTTTAGCAGGCCATGTTTCCATGGTACTTGCCCACCTGCGGTGCGTAGATGCAAAACATCAGCACAATGTTAATTTGAATGAGAGACGTGGTCACGACTCCAAAGGATTGCATTTCTACCCTTATCAATGCTTTGATTTAGTTTAAGCGGACTATAGTAGTTACGTTGAGTGCCATAATTATACTGTTGTAATTTAAAGTGCATCAGATTCAAATCACTGTCATACGATTACTCAGTTCAGTTTACCTCCCTGCTGTACCCAAATGGGCTCAGCATTGAAACCATATTTCTTCACCGCCCACTTATTTCAGAATTACGTGCAGAACTATTCAAATTACTGGGTGGAACCGAATGCAGGCAGCGTGCAGTTTGCCAGTGCCGACAGCTACTTTGTCCTGTTGCCTCGGTGGCATTCACCAGATGTTGGATTTTACTCCCACGTTGCCGCTGTTACTGTTACGGTCAGTATTGAGTTGTTTCTCACTCCTGCGGCAAGGTTCTTACGATGCAAGCATCGTATTTTAGAAAAATGGCCTTTTCGGTAGAAGTCGTTTCGTAACCGGTGGTGCGTTTGAGGTTACTCAGATCGTAGGCTACAACGAGGCCATAGAGAAAATGTAAATTAATCTAGTATTTTGTGATTGGTGGCTTTATTTGTGCTTCGGTTTTAGATTTTTTATTGCCGCTTTGCCATTGCCAAGAAATCGCCATTTATTCAGGTACGTTTTGAAATGACACGTTTCATTTCTCCTTATGCGACTGTGCGAGAAATTATATTTATAGCGGGAAATCAAAAGTCTCGGTGTGTGCTTACTAAGAGTTGCGATAGACATTTCTTTCAGAATTATAGCTTTTCTAGGAAATGGCATCGAAATAGTATTGTTGGTTTCCACATAGAATTACACAATACATATACAGTTATTTAAATTTTCGCTTCTGACATTCAGACGGTGGTAAATGTTATCGAAGATATGAGAACCTTTTACAGATATTCGTTGCAGGCAGGGTATTCGGACTTACAAACGAAGTCGATGTAAAACATCTGTGTCTATATTGTCAATGTTTTTATAACCTTATGAAGTCGTGACTTCTTCACAGAGGTCTAAGTAGTATGAGTTGTCATTTTTTACATGTCTGCATGTGTTTTTGAGTGAAAAACATGCCACTTGTTCGTTTCTGATATTTTCTTTACCAACGAAGGACAAGAAATTTATTCCCTTTGATAGAGCAGCTACTGGCCGCATAACATGATATTCTATCCATGAAAAACAATACAACACAACTCAAAGGCTAAGAAAAGATCCTTCTCGTTCTCAGTATCTCGAACTGAGGCAATTTTAAAAGAATAAATTTGTTCTACTTTTTCCCCTCTGAGTACCTTGAAATAAAGACCAACAGTGATCGGCGATGTGACTCGGTGCGTCTTTGGATGATGTTGGCCGGGCTTCTGGTTCCCAGATATGCCAAGATGGATTTGCGGAAATTTTTTGTATGACGGATAGCTTGGGTGTTTCAGCAGTGCACTGGTGCTGATAGATGTGAGAAATCAGCAGGAGCGTTTGTCGCAGGATGCTGTGTTTTTGTCTCATGAGGCCGGCAAAAACGAATAAACTGACCTGCGGTAGCTCACAACAGAACACTAACAGGCGAATTATCAGGCTCGCAGGTGGTACTGGTAGTCTCAACAACTTAAAGGCAACTAGTATGCTTTCTTGCATATTTTGAGGAACACCGAAGCATTCTCATCAGACGCAACTCTAAATATTCATTCAAGTAAACACCTAATACTTGACTGTACTGACTAGTACTCATGGAATCAGATTTTCCTCAATCACAAGTTTCTGCTCAGCCGCTGATGGGAATCATGCTAAACTGGTTTTATGTGATGCACGTCAGCTAGTCGCAGTTCTTATACTCGATTAGAAAATCTTTTCTATGAATTCTTCTTGATCAATTTCTATGACGTGTGACGATATTTTCCAGCGTTGTTAAATCGATTGCGTATTCCGAATAGCCAAGATCGCCACAGTTTCACCGGCATATTTACATGCATGGCGGAACTGGTGGCTTGAACAGAAGCTGAATGAAATTGGACAGAGTACGAGGCTTAGTGGAATACCAAGGTTGTTCCGCATAATCGGTGAGTATTACCTTCCAGCAATAATAAATTGCTGCCTGTTGAAGAAGTAGCCCGCTTGCCAGTCCAGCCAATGTAATGCCAATTCTACCGCCTGTAGCGTCTGAGTAGGGAATCAAGTAGCACAATAACAATGGCCGAAGAAAGGAGAATACATAGCGCTTAGCAGCGCATTTACACCAAGGCAAAGGCGAAAACGGACTAACAAATGAAATTGTTCATATAGGTTCATTTAATATCTTAAACTCTGTTGCAGCTCTAGTAGAATTTTTTCAACAAAAATCTTTTTTTCAAAAAATGGAAGATTTGTCACATAGTTGCGTTAAAATATTTATTGCGGTTACTCAGCCAGTCTGATTAATATTTCGTTGTTAACTGTGCAACATTCTCATGACTTAAACAACTGAAACGCATATCTGCGTCCGTTTGTATTGTAAACGGAGATGTATCGTGGATAATTATGTTCTGCATGTGTTATATGTAAAATACACATATGAATTTCATAGATATAATTTTGCTTCCTTTTCAAAAGTTAGGACTGATTTTTTTAGCATTGATGCTTTGGAGTCTGACCCTTCGAAGATGAAATGCTTGAGTTGTACGCTAGTGCCTGACAATTGCACCTACGTGAACGCCCTGTTCTCTCCGGACTCTTCTAACTATGTTTTGTATTGCCTCGGTCCCGGCATACCTCATACTTTACTGTTCTCGGTCTACAGAAACGACACAGGTACGTACCTTTCCTTGCTCATTCTATTCATTTCAGATTACGTCCTGCCATTTAGCTTCCATGATAGTGTAAACGAAGTGGTTATTTCCTTTTGAAATTTGAATGCGCCTACATGTTGAAGAATGTTCATGTACCGTTTAAAGTTGAACGAGTTCTAGGTGCAATGAGCAGAGTACGCTTCATCGTCATTGAAACACAGACGTTTAACTGGATTCTAACAAAGAAAAAGAGTAAACAGCCCGTAGGAAGACCTATTAGGTCGATGGCCGGAAAAAAAGCAGAAGCTCACTGGATCAAGATGGACGATAATGGGTAATAACAGAAGCTTATAGCATAGTCTTGGAGAGGCTTTCATCCAGCAGTGTGTTTAATAAAGGCTGACGATGGTGATCAGTGTCAGCCAGGAAGCATTTCCGTGGAAATGTACCGCACACGTTATTGTTAGCCTGCTACAGCGAAAACTAACTTTTCTTAGCGAACGTAGTTTCTTTACTGGTAAATGTCATCTTGCTTTTATTATGGCATTCTATATAATAGAGTTTTAAACTTCCCAACAAATTATAGTGATGCTGATTGAAGACAATACGGCTTTACGAGACTACGCTCGCAAAAAGCAGTTTCCTCTTGTACAGTACAAAGATATCAGAATCACTGATGAGTTCAGTAAGTACCTGCGTCGACGTGTTTTCTCGATTGTTCGTTTTTTCTGTTAAGCTGCTGTTGTAAAGTTGTTACTGCCGCCGCAGTTCGAATATACGCCATCCAGACAAGTGCATCCGGTGATTTTGCGAGTGTAAGTGACGTTGAAAACGTTACACCGATTTTACCTGTATTTTACACATACGCGTGCTTAGGTACGCTGGGCCTAATTCTCAAGCTGCGCTGGACATTTGGCCACTTATGGACCAGAAGGGGCTATTCGACGCGTTCTTGGCGACTAGTCGTCGTTACATTATTGTCTACATAGACGGACGTGGTTCGGCATGTCGAGGTTCCCGTTATTTGGAGGCCGTGCACAAGAACTTGGGTGACTTTGAAATCGCTGACCAGTTGACTGTTTTCAAGTAATTGCATTGGTTTCTAAGGAATGAATGGGGAACACTTGTTCGTTGATTGATGACCTGAAGGACTGATTGCTTTAATGAAGGCATCCTAAATTCTGTTATGCGTTTTCATGGTCCCTCTATATCAGTCAGTCAGTTTCGATGACCACTTTCCATTTTCGGTCACGGAGGCAGACGAGTTAGACCGTGTCTCCAGCGTTCCCGATCTTGTGTCATCGTTGAGGCTTCCGCAAACACTACAGCGGAGTCCTTTCAGGCACTTGCCCATATTGTTCTTAGCCGTCCCAACGGAGGTGGGTAGGTTGAACACAGGTAACAGCTGTTTCGCCTTCCTTTATGAAAGCATTAGCAAGACTGGAACTTCTCATCATTGTAGCTGGAACTTCCCAATCTCGAAAAGAAGGGGTTATACACCAATGCTTCCTCGAGTATCGGAACTCCGGGATTATGTCGAGAGCGAAGGAAGTGGTTTGTGTCAGAGAGCCTATTTTCGCCGCATGTACCTGAGATTTAAATTTTACAGTCGTAGCCCACGGCTCATGACCTGGGTAGGCATCGATATGAAGATCGACTTGAACACCGAGAGCTTAGTTTTCACACTCAGCTGTGCGTTATTCATTGCGGTTCGGACTAATATACGCGAAACGCCACTGATCATTTCAAGTCGGTCTCTTCCTCCCATTTTTAACTGTCACTAAACACTATTCCGAATTTCTTACCTGTTCCTTTGCTTCTCCGTTTATCATCAGAGCGCAGTGAACAGAAGAATCAGAAAGTGCTAGACTTTTCGTTTTGCACCTTTCTGCTAACGTTTGCAGAGAACGCCCTCAAATAACAACTTTATCGCCTCCACATCTCTTGCGCCAATGCATTCGTCGCCCTGGCTGAGACTGGCTCACCTATCTATGTGCAATACCAGCAGCTGAGGGGGCAGAACGCAGTGACCAGGGCTGACATTGGGCGGATTCGATCTAGCGCCGTCTACTCTGACGGAGCACCTATTATCAACATTTAGTGACTGGTTGGCTCGTGGCTACTGGCCATCGATCCAAACCTTTAAAACATTTTTGCATATTAGATTTTTCCCATGAAGCTAAATCAGGTAGTTCACTGATAATTGCAGTCTCTATGGTCTTCTTTCTTGTTCGAATGCTACCATTGCAGCTCTTCAATCGCAGTTTGATGGATACATTTTGGCCACAACATGTCTTATTCGCCTAATGCTTTGAGCGTTTCAGAGCGGATTTCATCAGTTCCATCAGCCTTACCACTTTTAAAGCTTTTTACGGTTTCTGTGACTAATACTCGTTGCCTACTGTTGTTCAGTCTAGTCTGCCTGCTTTTACCCGGGGGTTAAGAAGTTCCTCAAGGTGCTCTCACCATCACTGAAGTATATTCTCGTAATTGGTAAGCAGTTGCCTGGGCTTGTCTTTCAGGACTCTCAGACTGTGTTTCTTTCGCCCGTCTCAGAGGTGGGTGATATATTGCCGGAAATCATTGCTTGCCGTCTAGAAATTTGATTCCAGCACATCACTGAACTTTTGCGATGAATCAGCCTTCGCCTACATCGTCGCCCTGCGCGTTTCTTTATACCGCTTTCGTGTTGAATACTCTTTCCTTCCTAGCCACCTTTTGAATGCAGCATTCTTCTTGGTGACAGCCAAGTTTAACTTCTGCCGTTCACCAAGATGTTCGTTTATGACCTCAAGGCTGCAGGTGCCAACATGTTTTAAACCACAGCATTCAGCGCCGGCATCTTGTAAACCGATCTTGATCAACTTCCACTGTTTCCATATCAGCCGTCACCACTGGGAGATATTCAAACCGTCATGCAATGTCATTGGCAAGTATTCATTAAAGATAATGTTTCTCATTCGATTCATTGATTGCTTCTGCCATCAGGTCTTCGCATGGTACTCCACCGTTTGCAGCTGAGGTTGCTGACAACTTTATGTTTCTCTTAACGCGAACATCCATTTCAGAACGTCATACCTCAGACAAAACGATTATCGGCTTCTGTACACAAGTTTCCCTATACAAGATATACTGATGCGCATTTCGATGTTCGAAGGAAGTGTTCATAATGGGCAATCCGTTGTTAGTGAAAATCCACATCAACTTCATTCTGCTATTATTGTTGGCGTTAGGGTCGTTCTTTCCAATCATTCCGTTGCACAGGTCAGAGCATTCTTTGAATTCGCATTGAAATCGCCCATCAGAATAATGAATTGAGGAGGTGACATGTCGTCTTTATATATTTTATGCTTAATGGAGACTTTTCTGAGTGACGTCTTACTGGTCGTAACGATGCAGCGCTCTGTTTCTAGTTGTAGTTGGTGCTCATTAGTTCCACCCAATGACAGACTGGATCCTTTGGCGTCGTAGTGCTTCTTGTCGATGTTGTGAACGTTCATGTGAACTTCCCACTAATAATGAAAAAAGTACTGGAGTTAAAACATTTCCCTTCAGGTCGTTCTTCTACTGTTTTCAGCCGTGGACTCACTTTAAACTTACAACACTTGTTAGCTAAATAGTGCTTAGCTTTTAAATTTTTTCTGTGAAATTGAATGTAATAGTTTTTGATGTTAGTTTCCTATGCATTACACTTGTTATATATATGCCTTAGAAATTGTATTGTTTTCATAATACAGTGTCGTTCCTCGCTTTTAGGTCCCTTCAGGAAATGAATTTTTTCGACTGGTGGAAAACCGCTGTGTGGGGCTGGGTAATGAATTTACAGAATTTTGTTTTGATTGCCTTTTCATATGGAAATGTACGCCTTCATTCAAAGTGACATTCTGCTATGGGTTCGACCGTCGATCGGGTCACTCGCCCTTTTCCTTCCAAGGTTGATAAACGAGTAGCTCTGCGAGATAGAAGCGGTATACTACTCGCTGTTTGACCCACAGCTATAGACTGCCTTAAAAACTACTTTTAAAATATGGCATTTCTGACCGATGGCATGGAACTGGAGATCTGCACTATAAACGTCATGGATGGAAGATCGCCTAAAATGATCCCCTAGTCATTTAAAACAATATCCCAAAGATTGCAAACTTTCCATATTTTCGTATTTTTGAGGAGCATAAATATAATAAAAATTAAATTGTTAATTTTATATCAGCGAATGCTTTATTGTTGCAGTATGTATGATATGTTATCGTTCAGAGTGACTATCTGTCCATACGCTGTGAACTAACATTAATTCGCAGTTCAGTCCATACCGGTGGTAATACGTCAAATTTACCGTGCTATTGCTAAGCCTACCGCTGAACCTAATGCTCCTACATTCTCCGTCAGATTCCATCTCTGCCTTGGCTTAGGATTACGCTGAGTCTTATGCGATAATGTGGTAAAACCGATTTTGACCGACTGTCCAATCGCTTTCGTCACATACCTTATAAATTAAACGGCAAATAAATATCTGTCTGTACCAGTATGGAGGGATTACTATAGACGATAACATATTTACTATATTCTACGTTCTATTACATTTTTGATGTAGGCTGCATACATATGATTCTGTTATGTACGGTTCATTTACACATCAGATAATTTTTTACTGCCTTTCTACGGTATTCCCTAGATTACCCTGGCCAAACTGTCACGTAGATCTGCATTTTGGAATAGGTGAAATTTGTCTTACTAAGAAGAACGGATGATGACATTTGGTATATACATGGTGTACTTCATCTTCTGGCGATAAGTACCAACTGCTGCGAACTCAGCCAAGTTCCGTACCGTGAAGAAGGCTGCACAAGCTAAAACATTGGTACTGGTCAATGATCTGACAAAATGATTTCCGTTGTTTATGAGTAAACCGTGTTTCAGTAAGACTAGCATTGCATGAACAAAATACTTAATATACAAGATATACTGCATATGTTCTGTACTGCATAGCATGGGTAAGCTTACTATAATATTGACCTTATATATGAGAGCTCTAGCAAATTTAACATGTTATTGTGCTATTATTTCATTCTGAGAATAAAAACTCTCTTAGCTGGGTTTACGAAGTAACAATGTAGCTGCGGGAAATATTATGTAGCAGAAAACAAGGAGCACAGTTGCTCAGAGACATTGACAAACATGTCAAGCTAAAGAAGATAGATGATCACAGAGGTACGTGAGTGACACGTTGTACCGAAGCACCTGGGAAGAAAGCGAAGTTTCGCACCTAGTAGAGTCAAGGATCATTGTGAAAAGGCAGGTTTTTGTAGCACAAGCGCGGTAGAAACAGGTCTTCTGATGTTCAAAGTGCACCGTTATCATCATCAGAGAAAGACAGCTGAACAGGAGTGCCAAGGAGCCGTTAATCATCTGATCCTGCGGACACGTTAACCGCGACAAAGGATAAGAACTCTGCGTGAATTGGATGAGCTTTATTGCCCCTATCGTCAAGAAATCATTTAGCCAGCAGCACGTACAAATTGCCTTCTGGCTCTACACCACCATCTGATTGGAGTAACGGAAGGGCTTTTTATATCATTTAACTCCTTATTTCTAAGATGAGGGGTGAGACACAGGTTGAAACGTTGGCACTCGCCAATCATCCAGCTGATTACACATTTTTGTGTTGTATATAAATGAAACGTTTTATGCTGTTTTTGGGTATTTTGTATATATCATGTTATCTTCCGTGGTAGTTTTTTGTCTTTTTGGAGCAACATCACTGATTCCTTCAATGCTGAACTGTTGATTTACTTCCCAGCTCGATGCAGGGCAGATATTTGCACAATAACGGGTCTTCATTATCTCGTTGGAAGTACTTTTTTAAGAGAATTAAAATTATTTTGCGAACGGTGTTTCAGGCATCACTGACTGTCCTTCAGTGATATTGTAATCTGTTATAAATATGTGCTTGTGTTGGACATATAATATACCCTAAACCATGGTTCGAAAATTTTCTTGCATGCTAGAGTTTCTGTTCTGCAAATAAGACCACTTCCAGGGAGTAGAAATTTTAGTGGCATACACCAGCTAGAAGTAGCAAACGGTCCGCATAAATACATTGATGCTGTGTTTCACACCGAAACAAACGTTGAGTTATGTGCGCGTTAAATATGACAGAAACATTGGTCAGGGGCTGCTGGTACCTTCCTGTACCAATGCAAAAATTAAGCTTAAATCCATTCCGCCTTTCCCCACTGATTTCTGTAGCACTTTTGGTGGATACGTCATACTTATTCTTATACTTATACTTATGTTGAGTAGATATTCTGAATTTTAACTTTCGATACCTAACTAGTCAGTCAGTTTCGATAACTGCTTATCGTTTCGCGTCGCAAAGACAGATAACGTCAGACAGTGTCTTCAGCGTTTGAGCTTCGGCATAACATAACCGTTGTCTGAAGCAGAGTCATTCCATAGACCTGAGCCAAATTATTCTTGGTCCTAGGCCCGATATCTCACTAAAGTAGGGTTATCTTAAGGTAATAAGGTTCGCGTTATTATACTGAGTTATAGTTTTATGAGACAAGTGATTAATACGATTATTGATTGAAGCATCCGTTTTAGTCTTATGGCGGTTTCGCGACAGCTCGTATTATTCAAGATGACGCATTCAGAACTTTCTCCTGTGCCACTTCGGTTGCACCCGTGACAAATTTTCTTTTATATGGTTTGTTTAGTTTAAAATTTCTTTGTTTGATAAAGCTATATTTCGCTGCTTAATTTAGATGCCACCTACACTGAGCGCTACATGGGACTTTACACTTCGTCGAACGTTTTGAAATACAAGGTATTGTAATGACTAGAAACATGAATTCATTTATAAAGTGTTAGAAAGGTTCTGAAAGCAAGCAGTGCGTTTCATGTGTATATTCGTAATCAATTTTGTCTGATTACGGTGCTGCATGGAAACGTTTTCTCGAACAGCCGATTTACCGTATCTTTTGCTTTCCGCGTTTTTTTAAATATTTCATCCCGATGTACCTGGAAGATTTATTTTAGTTAATTATCAGACTTCTAATTGCGTCGAAGTTGAATTCGATATATGTTTGTCTCATTTACAGTATTGTTTCAAGCTCATTCAGTGGCTCGCCCTTGTCCATAGCATTTTCTTTTCAAGCGGCGCGTATTCTGTTATATAAGTGCCAAGAGCAACTTATGTAGTAAAGTGAAATTCAGGGTGATTTTCAGTCGCCTTCGTTGCCCACCCTCACAAATAGCAGTGTTAGTACAATTCGTTCTTTCAACGACCGCTTTCCATTTGTTTGTTCAACGTTTTCTTGACTTAAGGGTACCGTTCTGCCGGTTTATCCCACGTAGTGCGCTTTCATTGTTCCTCTTTCAAAAGCGCCAATCAGAGCGAAAAACGAAACAGTATCGACCACGGCAAACCGATGCCAATACTCCATGAAAATACCATTAAGTGACACGAAATTAAAGGCCTGTTTATTAACTAATTTTTAATGGTGACATGCCAAGAAGTGGTAGGCTAGAAAATTACTAATAGTGTTTTCTACTGAGTTCGAGGTATCGTCGACAAGTTCTTTAATTTTATAAGTTTAAGTCTGATATATAGTAAATTATGTTAGTGTAATAATCTCTATCATAATATGTATATATTTCGGTATAATTCTTACGCGACTGATCCGCGAAGATATGTTCATATGTACTTGTTTTGCTATATTTTACACGTAGTATGTACGACACAGCATAGTTTGAATCATCGGTAAACAAAATCTATATGTAGAATACTGTGTAACCATGTATTAAACTCCGTCCATGCTCCTAGTTG